TTTTTTGTCAGCCGGTACAAACAGAACATTGACAGTGACCAGTGATGCTAACAGGTTCGCTGATTTCATAAAATTCCGTGAGACGGTTCCATAGAAGCGATGCGAACCGGCAGAATCCCACTACTGGATTTATGTATCCCGATATTGAACTGTATAGTATATGGGCTGGTGATGAAGCTATTCAAATGACCTGTGGGTGGCAATGATGCTTGAAATGGTTTCTGTTTTTCAGTTTCGATCGAAACGCATGATATAGGAGGCGTTCTCATGTCTCACGATAATGATATACGTTTACTGTTATGCAAAACAACAAATCTACTATTTTTTTACGTTAACTGACATCTCAGGTACAACTACTTCAAAACTGATTAGTTTATTGTAAATTTATTTCCCGTGGCAGTTATTTCAATAGAATATCACTCACTGTATTCGTTAGCACCAAAAAAAAAAGATTTTGAAGTAAGGTAATAAAGTCGAATTTTCGTTTCAATGCGGCGTGATTTGTATTAATGAAAGTTGCGTCGCGAGTTTGAAAAGAAATTCCATTCCGAAATTAGTCAAATCAACTATATACTGAGTGACTTCGCCACGTGCCTAACCTGCAAAGAAAGTTACCTTAATCGTAATTTCATATCACGCGATTAGCGGAGACGTCATACCTAAGCTTCATTTTTGATTCAATGTCATTCAACTTATTTCTGTGATTATAATTCTTTTTTAATGGAGTAATTTAGCTTTTGGTAACTCGATTTAGAGGTAACGGTAATAAAAATTTTGGGAATCCCTGGCATGGACGAATTCATTTTCCGTTACAAAATCCTACTTTTCAATCATCATTATCCCATACTCTATCCAGAGTACGCTCCGCACAATTCATTTCGCAAAAGGTTCTGCAATATTTAGGCCTGCACCGTCTATACTTCATAAAGATCAATTTTGTTTGGTGTTGCAAATTTACTGGTAATTTGTGAAGCATTTGGTCGTTAGATAAACTATGTCAGATTACACATCCCGGGTTCGAATCCCATCCCCCTCCTCATCCATGGTATATTAAATTACCCGTACGGCCCTTCCAAAAAAAAATTAGTGGCTGCTTGTATTTGCTCTGTTACGAGCAAAACGCACATAAATGACACAATTTATGACAAACGCAAATTATGACACAATTTCGCAGGTGGTTGAGTACATCAGCGCGTGACGTTTAGTTCCTTATTTCAGTAGAGTCACCAAATATTATTTTTCGAATAATGACTCGAAACAATCGCGTGATTCTGAAAATCATGGGACGCGGAAGCAAATCGTCTATAAAACCCGGCAACAGAAGTTCGCTATTCAGTCCCAGTCTTGACTTTGTGTCTGTATGAAAGAAATCAAAAATGGGAGCCGAACTATCGAGACAAAGTCTCGGCAACGATGCAGACGGTGAGATAATCAACCAGCTTTTACAAAGACAACGCTTGCAAAATGCACTGAGCCTACTGAGAGATAACAATAAACTCTCCAACGGCATACAATTGATCTATTATGCAAGCAAATGCAGAATACTCCGGGTTGCAGATAAAATAAGTAGTGGCGAGGTAATGGATGACCCTGTTCTTGTTGATCTGAAAATAGTACCGATTCCAGAAAAGGAAATTTGGGATTTCAAGCTTGGTGATAAAGTCCGAATCAAATATTGTAAAGAAGATTTCAAATCCATTCAAAAGCGTACTTTGGGTTGGCGAACCGATTTGAATAAGGTACATGACCACGAAGGAATCGTCATCGGGTTTGTGTCCGAATATAGCAACCAGTTGAATGTCCTTTTTCCAGATATTTTCACCGGCGTTTCTCTCTACGCCGGGTTGTTCGAAAAAGTTGAAGATGATGATATAAGTTCACGCTGGAAGCCTGGTGATATGGTCAAAACAAATACAGATTTGAAAGTGATAAAAGTGCTGCAACAAGGCTGGGGTGAAATACCCATTCAATTTATCGGCGAAAAAGGCAGAGTAGCTAGTGTCACGGAAAGATATGTCAATGTTACATTTGACGAAGAAAATACAGAAACAATTCATCCAGCCTTGTTGCGCCGATGTAGCGATGACTCGCCAATAAAAAAATCCCCTCCTACCCACCCGCGCGGCTTTAAAATAGGTGAAAAAGCAAAAGTAATTTCTAATTTGAAAAAACTTGTTGAAAATCAAACTGGATTCGGCAACTGGGCCTCGAGCATGAATGAGCTGAAAGGACAAACCGTCACGATAGTCGATATTCTGAAAGACAGCAGTGTTCTTGTTCAGATTAAAAATAGCCGACCATGGAGAGTAAGCTCCGATTCAGTTCTGAAATTAGGAGAGACGGAAGAAATTGGAGAAAAAGATTTGGATTTCCTTTCTGGAGATGTCGTTAAAGTTAAATTAGGATCAGGATCGAACATCCACGTAGCCTTCATGGAGAAAGATATTCCGATTTCATTCATCGAACATCTTCGACTACCGGCAAGAGTAGTGAGTATTGATGACGACTTGGATTTTGAGTTACAATATGACAACGAACAAGAAGTAGCTGTGAACCCGTCAATTTTGATGAAAGTGTCACCAGACGAGGCAGAAACCTACAAGGATATTCGAGGAAGAGTCGAGTCATTGAAACCCGGGGATTCGGTCTACCTTGATGTCGGTCCGGCGAAGTACGTTCAATCAATATTAGCAACAGAAGAATTTGATCAAAAGGTTGTTTCAGCTTTGACTGAAGCCTCGACTCTCGTGGGCTTCACCGACTCAAAAACAGCAGTGATTCAGTATGAAAACGGAAGCCGATACAAAATCAATAAGAAGTATCTCACTGTCCCAGAACGATACGGCATCGCAATATAGAAATCAGATTTTCTGATTAAAAGACTGAACATTTATATTATCCAAGAATATTTGCAACGTAACGTTTTATTTGAGTCGCTAATGTTTTTTTCTTGCTCCTCACTGATACAAAATGGATTCCCGTCGACGAAATTAATGTAGTCTGTAGGCGCCAATTCGCCATCATTTTAATTCAAACATACAACCGTACGCTTCGAAATTTCTCAGACAGCTATAGCGCAACTTTTTCTAAGATTTTTGCTTATTACTGCAATTAAACTACAAAACCCCTTCTGAAAAATGATCAACTATTCTTTTAATCCTTCCTAAATCTGGTAAACATAACTAAAGCCTGACAAATAGAACGGAAACTACAAAAACGCTTCGATGTTTACAACCATTCTTGAAAAGCTAAGCGGCTCCACAATTTTATTTATTACGTCACTGTTGATTATTGATGATCAGATATTGTTATCTAACAAACATGGCACTCGTTGCTTGGGAAACATTGACAAGGTTGAGTGGCGACCAAGATTTCCAGTCCCCTTTCTCCGGGATAAGATTTATATATACTGTACAAGTATTTTCATTATCGCAGTAATATTGTTATATTTTCTTTTACTCAAATATTAAAAATGAAAATTGTAGTGCAATAATTATAGTGTATATATACTGTATATACACTATAATTAATGTAACCTCGTTGTTTACCTAATATTTTTATGACTATGAGAATAGTCCGTAATATCTTAGTTTTTCTTGTTACATTAGTTCTCACCCGATGAACTTGGATAATATTATGTAACTTAGTTTGCTTAGTGTTCAAATATTTGTGCATTGATTTGTTGTTTATAAATATTCCATTCATTCACATGGATAATCAGACAAATACAGATTTATTTACCAAACTTGTGTGTGTTTGTCGTTGTTGTAAATAGCTCATTCGAATAATTGATGGTTCACGTAACGCTGGTCGGTTACGGCCCGAGTCCACCGAGTCATGCTCCCGAGAACAAAAAATAACTGACGAACTAATCCCATACAACAGGAGTGTGCAACCTTTTTTTTATTGGCGGGCCAAATACAAGTAACTGGGTGAAGCCGCGGGCCGCACCTTTATTTAATTTAGGCTTTCTGGTAGTTGCAAGCACAAAAATTGCTTATATTTGCTATTGATCTTACGGCATTATTAGGGGTTCTTTCAGAAATAGTGATTTAAAACGCATAAACTTCTGAAGAAACTGCTATTTAAATATTTTGTCACACCGACTTCAAACGAATGCAGTGAGAAACACGTTTTTGTAATATAAATCGTGTATTTTACAACAGAATTTTGCTAGCTTGTTTCGCTAATATGACTGGTATGGGCTTTGCGACGAAAAAGAATAAATACTCGTTTTGCGGGTACACCATTCGAAATTGTTATTTCTCCGCGGGCCGCACAACTTCTTTTTGCGGGCCGCAGTTTGCACACCCCTGCCATACAAGACATGGACCGGTCTCACAGGCTTCCACCCACCCCGGGATAAATATGTAAATCATATCCTTGATTGCACCAAGTGATGCTGTACGAGTAATAATGCTGCTTTGTACTGGAGCACAGCAACTCACCTAATGTTAAGAGAGTCCATGGACGCCGAACATGACAAAATATCAACGTGTTCGGCTAAAATTCTCCTTTTGATTGGTGCACATATTTCTGGACGTCCGAAAAAGTGGTACAGAGCTATTTTAAGAAACCGTCAAACAATCACACCCCATTACAAATCTGAACTTTATTAAAGATGAGAATGGAACAAAGTCATAAGTACCACTGACAAAATTGCTAACTGTGCAGTTATATCATTAACAAATCGGCAGCCCGATATCAGACAGCGTTTGCTTGCCTAAAGCCTTCTATGAGCATAAATTGTTCGAACATAATGGGATTTGGAATCCACCAACCAAATGAATACTATAAAAACCGCTGAAATGATTAACAGGGGGCCATGAGTGTAAAAGCCTCTTGAATGGGGGCCACGAGCCATAAAAGGTCGGGAACCACTGGCTTATCGCAATTGAAATATGGGCCTACAAAGGGGGGGGGGGGGGGGGGGGGGCACGAGCCATTGGAGGTTGCAACCACTGTTCAATGGTATCCTAATCCATTTTTTGAAATAGGAAACCAAAGTTTCCTTGATAACTAAGGCTAAATTCACAGTATCATCAAGACAATAGCTGAGGCTCAATGTAAAGTCAGTGTGGAATAAACTAATATCTACAGTAAGGTATTGCCATGTTATAATAAAAACTTCCTAGCAGAAAAGATTCGTTGTCATAGCAACAATGTTGCTATGGATACCAGCATTACCATAGAAACATAACATGATTGCTTATTTAAATCTTTGAACAATGACAGCGTTCAATAATTTTCCTTCTTTTAAAGTAGTTTCATCGTCCTTGAGTTCTTTGTTAGGAAATGTCGTCATTAAGACAAAATTTCTCGATTCGCTTGAACGATTTCGTACAAAAGAATACACGTCTGCCACCTGGTGGCTGTGGTTGAACTTTTGTGTGACCCTTGACCCATCACCGAGTTGGACTCGAATTGTCGTGACAGGAGAAGATTCGTTAATGATTACTTCTGGGTCGACTGATGTCGTTTCTGCTGGTTTTGAAGGAGGAGTAACACTTGATACCACATTTGGTGTGATGCCACCAAGTGTATGACCTTCACCTGTATTTGAAATAGGAAAGATTTTTGAATTTAAAAAAACACAATTTTAGTGAGGGCGGTCGGTCAATGCAAGGAAACGATCCTTAATTCAAAGTAGAATGACAGAAGAGTCAACAAAGTCAAAAATCTTTGTTGGGAAGATTTTGGGTAAAACAAACTATGTCCAGAGTCAATTCGGGAGAAGTATAAAAAGAATAGCCTGCTAGCAGACAAAAGTTTTATGTGTTGTTGTATTAAATGAAAACCAAAAAGTTTGAGAACCGCTGTTCTCATGAAAGCAGGCATAATCAATTACCTGTGAAAGCTTTCATTTTTTGTTTCTCTGGTTTATAATCTTCATTCTTGTGATCTTCCATGTCCAAGTTGACTTCACCACCTTGAGCCATTCGTAATAATTCCTGATCAAAATAAAATGTTTTTTAAATATTACACAGCTCAAAATACAAGTGTGACCCAAAATTAAAAACAACCCATCAATTTTCGTGATGAAATTGAATTAGCACCACCTAATGCGCCAACGTGTATGTTAATCGTGGCGTGGCCAAAGAGAGTTTTATCTGGTTAGCGTACGTCAAGATTGCTACATCTTGTATATTGTTTTTCTTCTTATTTTGGTAAAGCAGTAATGTTTAAGTCAACATAGGGCCTAGAAAAAAAGTCTTGAGTTTTCCTCTAATGGTTTTACTACAATTATTTTGAATACTTCATTTTTCCACAAAATTTGAGTTTGGTCATCGGTTAGTAAAAATATGTGTTTATTCTTATAAATTTATTGTGTGGCTCCGTAAATAATAGTCAATCACTTCACGAGCTCCATAACACCAAAAGTTTGGGAATATGTTTAAAATGACAATTTTTTTCATTCTACCCTGTACTAAAGATTATATAAAAGTTTACGCTCCAAACCTGAGGTATCTCTCCTTTTCCTATTGCACCCAAGAATTCTTTTGTTTCTGGGTCGTGGTAGTCTCGTAACGGCCCGTCCCCAACAGTGAATCCATTTTTCCACAGTTTGAGTACAACGTCTAATTTGCGTTCCTCTGGCTTCTCAGCTCCTGGTATGAATTCATGGTCCTCAGCCTCGGCTCCGAGCTTATACCCACCACCGGTGAAATACTTTTTGTCTGTGGTGAATATAGTGAAGAAATAATAAGAGGGTGTGCAACAGGCGGCCCGTGGGCCACAATCCGGCCCACTAAGCCATTTCTGAATCAAGCATAAAATCCTAATACGACAGTTTATGTTTAAAACTGGGATGAATCTTTCGCCGTTTTGCCCGGTGGCTTTGACAGTTTATGTTTAAAACTGGGTTGAATCTTTCGCCGTTTTGCCCGGTGGCTTTGACAGTTTTTGTTTAAAACTGGGATGAATCTTTCGCCGTTTTGCCCGGTGGCTTTGACAGTTTATGTTTAAAACTGGGTTGAATCTTTCGCCGTTTTGCCCGGTGGCTTTGACAGTTTATGTTTAAAACTGGGTTGAATCTTTCACCGTTTTGCCCGGTGGCTTTGACCGTTTATGTTTAAAACTGGGTTGAATCTTTCGCCGTTTTGCCCGGTGGCTTTGACAGCTTATGTTTAAAACTGGGTTGAATCTTTCGCCGTTTTGCCCGGTGGCTTTGACAGTTTATGTTTAAAACTGGGTTGAATCTTTTGCCGTTTTGTCTGGTGGCTTTGACCGTTTATGTTTAAAACTGGGTTGAATCTTTCACCGTTTTGCCTGGTGGCTTTGACCGTTTATGTTTAAAACTGGGTTGAATCTTTCGCCGTTTTGCCCGGTGGCTTTGACAGCTTATGTTTAAAACTGGGAAGAATCTTTTGCCGTTTTGCCTGGTGGCTTTGACCGTTTATGTTTAAAACTGGGTTGAATCTTTCGCCGTTTTGCCCGGTGGCTTTGACAGTTTATGTTTAAAACTGGGTTGAATCTTTCGCCGTTTTGCCCGGTGGCTTTGATAGTTTATGTTTAAAACTGGGTTGAATCTTTCGCCGTTTTGCCCGGTGGCTTTGACAGTTTATGTTTAAAACTGGGTTGAATCTTTCGCCGTTTTGCCCGGTGGCTTTGATAGTTTATGTTTAAAACTGGGTTGAATCTTTCACCGTTTTGCCCGGTGGCTTTGACAGTTTATGTTTAAAACTGGGATGAATCTTTCGCCGTTTTGCCCGGTGGCTTTATTATGGGTAAAGTAAGCATTAACCTCATTCTCTTCTCTTGCCTTTCCTGTGGTGCTCCTGGAAGTCAGACCCCCAAAATCTTAGCCCATGCCAACCATCTTATCCAAGATGCAATAAATTAGGCAGCCAATTCTGAAGCTGAAAGATTCTAATCGCTCCTCCCATATCATTAGATATCAGTGATAATTTCAGTTAGCCAGGAATTTTCAAATGTGGGATTTTGTAATTTCTAATTCGCAAGTCAGACCGCAACAGCTAGCAGGTATGGCCAAAAGCCAGAAAACATTTGTTTTTAGTCTTGAAGGTCTAAAAAGTTCCCAACTACAAAAAATCGTTATGTATGATACATAAAAATGCCTTTTCTCCCATTTCAAGAGGGGGCTCTGACCCTCAAAACCCCTAGATATACCCCAATTTACCAAAAATTTAATAAATTCAGGCAGGCACTGCAGGTAGATTTTGGTCGCTGCTTCCATATCATTACGTATTAGTGATAGTTTCAGGGGTGTAGCCATGAATTTTCAAAAAAGGGGTCTTCAAATCGCCAAGATAGAAGACCTTAACAACTAGTGGGTCTGGCCAGAGGCTTTTAATTGGGGGGTTTTCAGTCTTTAGGGTCTAAAAAGGGTTTCAAGCTACGGAATCGCTGTGAAAAATGTTTTTTTAACATTGCGATAAAGTTAAAGCTTTCTTTACCTTTCTTTTTCCCTGATGAAGATGAAGCTTCATCCACAGGCATAGCGCCATGTTTCTTTGCATTCTTAAACATTTTTGAAACTATATCTTCGCCACGTTTCTTCTTTCCTGGACCTGAACAATAGGAATAATGACCGTATGTTGGAGCAGGGGTGAACGAAGTATTATTTGCAAAGGCTTCATTGAGAAATATATGAAAAGTTTATTTGCCCTCAAGGCAGATACACAAATACAGGTCCTTTATTCAGGCCTGTTACAAAACTATAATGCACCATCACCAAAGTAACACCCTCACATCAACATGTAAACAAGTAATAAATACTAGTAACAACAAGTAATGGCACAATGATTACAAGTGTCTGGTAAAGTAATCTGACCAAAACATTCACAATATACATAACTTTATTTTTAAAAAGCTTATCGTATAGCAGGAGGGGGCAATTACTTTCTTGAGGAGGCCACTTTAGATAATAGACTTGGTGAAAAATATGCAGATGTGGATAATACGTGATGAATTATAATATTTATTTTAGCAAACGATTCGTTATTTTCGACAATATATTGAATGAAAATTTATATTCATAAAAACCATAGTCGTAATTTTAGCAGAAACAATCCAGCCGGATCCAGCCTGCGGGACTATTTTGCCCACCCCTGTTCTAACGTTATCGTTCGATGCTTACTTAGGGCCTTATTAAGAGCAAAAAAGGGCATTTATTATTGTACTCGCGGTCGCTTTGTAATCTGAAATGAAGGCTCACATTTATAGGTTTAGAGAAGTAATGAATGCGCTATGCTCTTGATTTTATCGTCACAATAGGGTTATTATGTACTTTTTGCACGGCCTGTCGCCTCTCAATGAGTGCACAAGGGAGCCGATTGAACACTTGACTGGGTCAGATCTGGCCCGCAGGCCGTGATTTGCCCACCCCTGTCGTATAGTTAGTTATCTTAATACGTAAAATGACGTTGTTGAATCGAAAATAAAAAAAATGGGCTAATCACGGCCTAATTCATTTATATTTGGAATAAAATTGCACGAAAAAAGAGGAAAATTTAAAAACTATACAAACCTACGATAACCTCTCCACTGTGTTCTGAACCTCCTGCATAATATTCCTGGCCCTCTTCCTCACTGTCATCACTTTTACGGTCTTCCGCTCGGTCGTAGTCCGCTAACGATCGAAACCGTGAGTTACTAGAGGTACCTGATGGTTTGCTCTGAAAAATTTATGTATTGTTAGGGACTTGAAGCTCTGCTCCAAATATGGCTCTATGAGACTGGAAGAAAAAAGGGTACTCTCGTAGTATGTGAACCAGGTTAAGGTTGGGCAATACTACTGTATTGCACCCTAACCTGGTACACATACTATGTTCCGGTGTCCGCCATCTTGGTTTACATACTAGGGAGTGCCGAAGAAAAAATTTAATATGAATAAAAATATAGGGTGAACAGACAAAAAAAAAGACCAAATTCCTGTTCGAAACGATTCGTTTAATTTGCTATTCAAATCTAAATGCCCAGCCTTAGACATGTCCCTTCTAATTTGGCACATCCTATTCATTTTAAAAAGCCCTATAATATCAAAGAAGCAAGGACACCTCATGGTGCATTATCTCCAGCCACCACAAGAGTTGGATTACACGAATCCTATTTATAATCAAAAATAAAACTTCATGATTATGTTTGTTTATTACATTCAATTTTGGCAAGGCTTGTTTATAGCCTTCATATTTAAATATAGCCTACCCACTTGGAGTTGGCATTAATAAATGATCTTAGGCAGAGGGATTGATGGTTAGACCCCCCTTTTAAAATTAAAAAAAAAAGTAAAGATCATAAATAGCAATTTTTCATAGCTTGGAACGCATTTTAGTAGATTTATGAAAACCCACATTTCCAGTCGCTTGCTGTTACGATCTAACTTGGCAATAAGAAATTCCAGAGCCGCCCCCCTTTGAAAATTCCTGTCTGCGCCTCCGATCTAAGGTGACATTTTTGCCATTTGCTATATTTTTTTTCAATAATGTTCAACAAGTCCATTCGATTATTACCTTGGTATCTTTCCCATCTGAGCTATCTACCATTGCATCATGAAACTCATCATTCTGCTCAGTGTTACTGAGTGATGCACCTGTATAAATTTAAAAGGTTAAAAATCGGCTGAATACATTTTTCTAAGGTAAAGTCTAATATGGTATAAAAGGGTAACGACATCCTGTGAAATATCATTATCAAATGATGAAACTGGGAAAAACGCTTTTATCACTCATGGGCCCTGTTTATCCCATGGCCCAGTGGTATTTATAGTGTTACTTTGATTGGTAGATTCCAAATGCCATTATGTTCAAACAATTTGTGTTCAACAAAGTTATTAATAAGACATCCTGTGAAATAACTTTATCAAACAATGAAACTAGAAAAAAGGATTTTATCACTCATAGCCCCCTGTTTATCATTAGATTAGTATTTAGAGTGTTACTTTGATTGGCAGATTCCAAATACCATTATGTTCAAACAATTCGTGCTTAACAAAATGTAGATATCCTGTGGAATATCCTTATCAAGGAATGAAACTAGAGAAAGCAGTGAATTTTTCGTTAAGATAAAAGTAAAATCAGTTTTTCGCCAGCAATGTCACATACTTTCGTATGATAACCCCTGCTCTGTAGACCCACCAGGTTGAGGTATAACAGGTTCAGTCTCCATGAGTTCCGGTCCCCCTGCGTTGTCATAGAAACTACTCAGAGCTAAATCAATCTCCCAGTTTGCACTTTCGAGATAAAAACGAGAGCGATCATCGTTTTCATTTGTAACCGCCTTGAATTGCTCAATAAGGGAATCATGATCAGCCATTTTGTGCCCAAAACTGTCCAATTGTTTTTTTGTGATATATTTTTTTATCTAGTAATTTTATCTAAAATAAAGTAAATATTAATTTATGACGTAAATGCATCATTTGATCAAAAAATACAACTCATAATAGGAAGAAAGCTCACACGGCGCAAAAAGAGATTAAAATCATTTCGAAGTTGAAGAATAGAGTTGAATTAAAATTGTGCAAAGTGTTGGAAACTGCTTGTTTGACAAAACATCGCAAATTTGTGAAAGTGTGATAAAAGGGTACACTTGAAGTATGCGCACCAAGATGTCGCATAACCTGAACTCTAACCTGGTACACAACCTGAGTTCAGGTTGCGCGCCATCTTGGTGCACATACTTCAGGAGGTCCGATAAAAGATATTTGAACCAGGGGCGTAAGGGGAGAGGGGGTGAAATTTCTGATTGACAAGTTAGACCATAACAGTTAGCACGGCGAGAAAATGTCGAATTTATGAGTCTTGCGGGTCTAAGCAGTGTTTTAGGCTAACAAATACAATACAATTTTTGGGGCTCCCGAAGTATGCGAACCAAGATGGCGGACATCGGAATGTAATATGTGTAGTGTACTAGGTTAGGGTTAGGCCATAATTTTAGGTATAAATACTACGGGAGGCTCTTGGCTAGTCTTCGAACTGATAATAGGACTAAAATAGAGAAAATTGGAAAAAAATTATCGCTTAACCCTAACCTGTTACCCATGTTACGTTCCGATGTCCACCATCTTGGTTCGCATACTTCGGGAGCACCCAATTTTTTTTATATTTATTCCAAAAGGGGGGTGGGTTAGGGTTCCGGCTCTCAAGCCACTCCTCCCCCTGGCCATGACCCTCAATAAAGTTGGTTTAATTCTTGCTGTAATTATGGCTATGGTGTCCGAGTATGTTCAAGATTCATGAATCAAAGTCAAAAATTTGAATTTTCGGGAAATTTATATTTTCAACAGTTGATATATTATTGAAAATTCAAAAAGTTCAAGAGTTCAAAGTCAAAAGTTTATTAATAAGTGTTCTTAACAGTCTATTAAAGGAGACTAGTCAATGTCAGTCATATTTTATTGAAATTTGAAGGGCTGGAGACAGAAATTTCTCCCAACCAACAGTTGGACACAATTATAATTTTCCTTTTCTCTAAAGCCCGGCTACAGTTACTTGTAGTTGGTGCATACACATCTATAAATACAAAGGTAGACAGAAAGGAGCTGTAATTAGAAATACAATACCCTAATCCAGTGCTCTTCAACTGGGTGTACCACCCAAGTGTATACCGGACCATAAGTTGTGTATACAACTGATAAAGGGTATACATCCAAAGTAAGGAATTATAAACTCCAATACAAAAAATTATAAAATATTCAGGTGGAGACAACAATGCAAACGCATCGCACATGGAATATAAAATGTCATTTACGCGAAGAACCGGAGTGAGCACATTGTTACATCACGGATTATATAGATAATGCGGTCACGTGTCAGGGTTGGTGATTTCGGCTCACATGCACTTTGCTTGATTTACGTTAAACATTATTCCCGTTGCAATAAGGCTGTCAGTCAAATTTATAACTTGCGGACACTAGCCTATTAGATTGTGTGATAATATTGCAGTACAATATGTGCTTATAATTTTTAGGGCCTAAACAAACATTGGTACTTGTAGTAAGGTACCGGTATACAAAGTTCTTGAAAAATTGTAAAAGGTATACCACGATAAAAAAGGTTGAAGAACACTGCCCTAATCAACCAGTGCAAAAGTTGACCAATATTTAGAAACTGCAGACTGGGTGATAAAAATCAATTCAATGAACGTTAGTTAGCTACCAAGCTAGTAAATGAATTTTAAAAATAAATAAAAACAACTTGAAGCAAGATATTTTAAAAATTCATTATTTGGTGTTGAAAACCATAAACATCAACGATTCCCAACCGAGGGCCTGTGGCTCCCCACGGAGGCCACAGAGCAATGGAAGGAGGGCCAAAATGCTAGGCGCAGAGTTAATTTAATAAGATTTCCTTTCACAAAAAAACTACCCGTTCCTCCAAGTTTATTGCGAGATAAGGTTATTTCACAGTGTTGAGCGGGAATTATTTGAATATGATGGGTTTAGGAATCTACTACTAATAAGAACACTATAAATACCACTGGAATAATAAACAGGGAGCCATAAGTGCTGAAAGCCTTCGAAAGCCGCGAGCCATAAAAGGTTGGAGACCACTGATATACATACACCATAGCCAAGGATGGCTTTGGGCTTTTTTAGACATTCCTAGTACGGTACAGAAATGGAATTAGTGAACCCGTTTGGTATTCAATTCACTAATATGACACAATACATATAAATTTGAGCATGTTCTAATTGATTTACGGTAATTGAAAATAATCTGTGAAGAATATGGAACACATAAGCCTCATATAAGTAAGATATTGATAAAAACGGCTGTAGCACACCACCGTATGGCATTGTTTTTAGCTAATGAACAAATAATCACTAGGACAACATTGCAAGAAGCGTTGCTGATAATGTTTGACTTTCTTTGAGAATAAGTACTGTAGATGCAAAAAATGGTAATTAATTCTATCAACATAAAACTTAATAAGCACACAATAACATAACGAAAAAGATAAAATTCTGAAGTACAAGGTAAAAGATAAGTATCATAAATATTAATGTGAAATTAAAACAAAAATATATAACTGACCGAGACCATAAGTCACGACTGCTTATACAAAGCTTTGCGCAAAGATAGAATGTAAATAAATTTTATCACCAACTGAATTTTTAAAATCCAAAATTCTGTGTCTAAAAGCAAACCTCAGACTAATGCCTCCCAGGGTCATTACTAGGGCTGGGCATTTCGAATCGAATAGTAAATTATTTGAATCGGTTCAGAGCTAAATTTCGAATCACCGCCATCTTGTTTTTATCTTTCCGCTAATGGTCGATGTGAATTCCCCAATTTTTTTCTCATTGGAGTCATATTTTTTTAACAAAATTCTGACATATGACAATTTTCTGTAGTGAGACTGTAATGAGTAATCTATCTGAGTGATGTATTCTATGTCTTCAGTAATTCACTTGTTGAGAGGACCAATTACTATAAAAAGTCGCTTACAGTTATATATTTTCAAGTATTCGAGATTCGATTCTGAAATCACAAGGTATTCGAAAATGCCCAGCCCTAGTCATTACTAGGTCTAAGGGTGGGCAAAAGGGGCAAGGTACTGCTTCAAGAATGGGCAAATTACGACCTGCGGGGCGCATCTGGCCCATTTGTGTCTGCTTAAATTATACCTATAATTTTATGGATATTAATTTCTTTTGAAAATATTAGCAAAAATAGCGTGTCATAATGACCCAGAAGGTTGGGCTTCTTATTAATATATAAACACTATAGACTAGTTGTTGGACTAGATTTTGTAATTAAACTGTTTTTATTTATAGTTTTCCATATTGAGTTTTGGCCGATAAAACATTTTTTATTCCTAGGTTTCCATATTGAGTTATGGCCAATAAACTTTTTCCATTCATTCTTTTCCATATTGAGTTTTGAGCCTTCGACCCAGTAACCAGGTCTATTACCTGTAAAAGGCCCCCTCAGGAAAGTAATTGTTCACCGATGTACTAGGTCCACTAGAAGTTGTACAGAGCCTCATTCAGAGCAGAACTAATCTGATTCTCCTTCATCGGTACTCTCATCATCAAGTAAACTTTCACTCCCACAATTAAAAGGAGTTAGTACATATTGAAGATTTGGTTCTTTGCGTATTCTTGCGGCCCATTGGCCCCCTCCAATCGCGACAAATTTCGTGAGTTGGCAGTCTTTGATTTCATTCATTACAAAATCTATCGCCTCGTCACGGGTCATTTCAGGGTTAAGATGAAATTCTTTAATCTCATCATCGTGTGAGAATAAGCTTTCGTTTACGAGCCAAGAATTATTTGGAAATTCATCCGTATTCGGTTTTTGATAGTGCTTCATTCCTGCTCGTAATTTAATTTCATTTGATTCAAGATTTTTGTGTTCATGTCGATGTCTTTTCCAGTTTTCAACCTGACAACTTCTACTGCAATAATGTTTGAACATTTCGTGGGTTTTTAGAAGTCCTAATTGCTTGCATCTTAAGCATACTTTGAAAGGTGTGGATTTTTCTTTTTTCCCACAATGTCCGCACAAAATGGTTTCTTTGGGATCGATTCCGTAGCGAGATATTGGTGAACGGTTCAGCTTTGCTTCCAGTGCTGCAGTGTCCAGAGTTTTTGTTTTCTTTTTCACCAATTTATTGTCCATTATATATTTTTTAAATTAATAGTAATATTAAAAATAAAATCTGAAAACAAGAAAAAATTAAGCATGAAATATTTCAAAATTATACTATACATGCAGGATGCAGATATCACGATTAGAACATCTAAAAAAAATTAAAAAAAAAATCAATGTGCACACTGAAATTTCATTAAATGGGCGGTGAAGCATGTTTGGCAGAATATACACAGCCTTTTTGTAACATTAGTGTTTTGCCCACTGTTTTTACATTCATGAAAAGGGTAATGAAGCATATCAGACAGAATCTACACAGCCTTATTATAACACAATTATTCCGGTCACCACTTGACAACACATAATGGAACAAATATATTTACAAAATGAGCAATAAAGCATATTTGACAGAATGTACAGAGCTTAATTATAACATGATTACAAACAAAATAGAACAATAATGCAGCTGGACTCTTTAATTGGATAGAATAGTCATGTTTATTCCAGCTACAGTATCCTTGCAGTATACGCATACGGATCCACTAGCATAAAGACATAGAGAAAAGAAAGGAAGTTGTCTCGCGCAACCCAACTCAAATTAATAAAATTGACACTAACAAATGGGCGATGAAGCTTGTCCGACAGAATCTACACAGTCTTATTATAGCACCATTATTCTGCTCAATGATTCAGTCACAAAAAATATAGAACAATAGTATTTACAATACTCTCATCAAATTGGTAATGAAGCATATCAGACAGAATTTACACAGCCTATTTGTTACATGATTATTCTGCTCACTG